TATGTCTGTATATCTTAATCAAATCACTTACTGGAACTCAAAATACACATCTTGACAGTCTTCAGGTAACAGAATAATGCCATATAGTAAAAATGGCTGACATATTGTTGTAAGACCCAAATTAGTTCCATACAGGATTGTTGTGAATGCAAACAACTGCCCAATAAAGAAGTAAATGTAGTTTTGTCTTAAGATGCAACAATTCCACCTGTATACAAAAAATACAGATTTAAAATGTATGTAAATAATGTAGTCAGTATAAGATAACAAATAAATTCCTACTTACCAAATTGAATGGAAAAATCTATCATTAACTTCAATTTGACAAACTTGACAGTAATGTGAGTCTGATGTTAACACTGGGCTGAAAAAAGGCAATAAAAGATTTGTTAATTTTCTATAAATATAATGGAGATTTATGTGTTACACTGAAACACAAAAAGTTCAGTATCTGGCTATAAAAAAATAGAAATACAATATAAGTAACATTTAATAAAATTGTGTTTCTATTTCATGCAAAAGTGAAAAGATAAGACATTAATAAAGTAAACTTTTACATTACCTGTATTCTTTACCCTTTGATGACCCAGTTGCTAGTTCAAAATCCGCAATTGCTTTTACTTTATAAAAGTAAAAACATGTGCATGCCAGTAGTACCAAGAAAATAAAGTGCTCCAATTGTGTTATCTCAAGTAATCTTAGTATTGCAATTTCAAATACTAGAAACATCCAAATACCAGATGACAAGGTCCATGAGAAAAAAAATGGTGATCTGAAATAAACATAGAATATTTATTAGTGGTGCAGAATATCTATATTATCTATATATACTATCAGCACATTCGGAGAAATAATCTTGTCGAATTTATCTTTTTAAAGCCAACATTTTGTAATAATCATGCATTGTTTACATAAACTATGCACTGTACCTGTTCTTTTGCCGTGGTCTTGTCTGAACATATAATGCTCCCATGCCAATAGCAATCATAATTATTATGGTAATCGTTAAAGATATAGTAGCAAACAGTAATAAAATTGGCAATATAATAAATGGCAGAACACCATCTTTGTCAATTTTCTTGTTGCTCGTTTTATTGAATCCGAAACAGAAAACATCTTGAATTGTTAGGGATGTCATGACCAATCTTAGCCAATTTCTTATATATCTATTCCAGACTTGGTAATGTTCTTACATGATAAAACTGTATTTACCCTATTTTGAATAAAGTTATCTTAATATCTTGTATTAGGAATAGTTTTACAAGCTAAAATTATCAAATTAGTGAACCAGTTTTCAGCAATCGGTGATATAAACTATACTAACGATGTTTGTTGGCTGTTATTTATATTTTATTTCGTACTTGTATCGTAAATCGTAAATTGCACTTGCATTTTCTTGACACTGACAAACTGAACTGTCATTACTTATTATGCTGACTTGTCGAATTTTGAAGCTGGCAACTTGTATCATTTTGCCGCCAAAGTAAAACAGGATGGTTCGCGTTGTTCTTATAATTTGATTCCGAAAATAGATTGTGAGTTCTAATAAAAATATCTGATGTTAATTGTTATTTAACGACACCATTAAAATGAAAATATTATATTAAACATATACATATATATATAAGAGAAACATTAAAGATAGTAGATAGGGCAGATATTTAGATTTCAGCTTTAATCGATCTTTATAAAAACATAGTAGCGTGTTAAAGTTACATAAACTGGAGTATAAAACCACAATAACCGCCTTCATTTCAATAACACAAATATCATGTGAATACAAAAACTACTATTTTATTGGATAAAATGATGGTGTTATATAATTCTATGTCTAACCGTGGGTTCCTGAGACCAAAAACGTTTAAATGTTTCTGTTTTTTTAAAGGTATAAAAGAGCTGTTTGGGAAAAGTATGTCTAAAGATATGCGTGTACGCGTTTTATTTATCCAGGCCAACATAGACGTTTTTTTAAAGTATAATATGTTACAATATACTTTGATCAATATTGTAGTAGTTAGTTACCAAAGAACCATCAAATCATTTTTTTCAACTTAGTAACAAACTAATTTTGATTCGAACGTAATGCCGGTTACTGACTCTCGCGGTCATTCAGGCAAAGGCAAATTCGCTTCGAAAACAACCATACTGCTCTCAAAAAAATATCGCAATGCCTGTCTAGAAAAATATGTTATAGTTAAATAAAGTAGTTCACCGGCGCGATATGACGTTCTACGCAATACCGGTGACGCTCCATTTCGTAATCCTTCGTAACGTAGAAACGCGCCGGCCTCTTTTTGCATTCAGTTGCAAGTGATACTGCAATGTAATTACCCGTCTAAGACTACAATTAGCGGCGTCCGCTGACGACCTCGTATGGATACAGAGCGGCATAGGGCCAGGCCAGGGGCTGGACCACTCATCACATCGCATTTACACATGCGCTTCAGTCAACAACAGTTTGCGCGCGCACGCGTGCTTAACTCCGTTTTTACCTTATCCGCCGGCACCGAACATACCCAGTATTGATCGGGCCTCCGCCGCGATACGGCGTCTCGAAAATGGTATACGAATATTCGCGCGGGTCAAACAGTGTTCGATAGGATTTTTGTTGTCTCATACCGGCCTTCTTCGAAATGGAAGAGTGGGAGAAAGGCGTTTATGTGTTGTAGAGGACGAAGTGAATATAACGATTATGTCGAAGGTGAGTGATATGGTTTAAGCAATAGTTACAACACTGCGGTTGCAGGTAGTTCTAAATCATTGCCAAGGACCTATTCATTGAATGTTTTGTATGTAATTAGTTAATTGGTATCTTAATTGTTTAGACTTAGACTTTATCGAATAAGATAATACAATTTTAAATTAGTTTTGAACATTCGTTAACATTTTTGTCTAGAGAATGTAAGCAATAATGGCAATTTTTCTCATAAGATATATTTTCAGAAATCTTGAACAATGTAAGAACAAAGGCTGCCATTGTAATTAAAATCACTACCATGTTATCTTCTTGCATTATTCTCATTTTTTTTAATATTCACAACAGAACAAAGGCTGTAACTGCTGTAAAATGTATCGTACATTTTTATTTGACCACCGTATTAATAATTAATTTATGAATCAATGAATGAACTATTATATTTTATTTATTTACGTCATTTCTATAAAAATAGAAGTTTTCTTTGTTGTTCATGTGTTTATCCTAGCACATTAAAACCTTTAATTATGATAATAAAGTTACGAAGAAAGGTAGGTTGATTACTTTAACCTAAAATTTATGCTTCGTAATAGTGACACATAATTTCTGTTGGTGCCAAAGCCAAAATGCAAAAGCAAAATGTAGAACAGCAACAGAACAGATCGATGAAACGGGTTGTTAGTACTTTACAAAGGCTTATATATGTAGGCTACATCTTCAACATCGCTATTGGCGTAGATATTTAAGTAAGCTTCCCTGAATGTTGTAGTTCTATGAGGTGTTCGATAGCTATCATATCATAAAGCCGGTTTTATATTAAAAATATTCCAGGCTTTCGTTTTGCGATTTATACATTTTTTCGGATGCGAATAAAAACTTCAGGATTCCTTCTTATAAACTGTGCGTGTTTTAGTCCTTATAAGCTTGTCTCCTCACTTAGCTATTGACGGTAGGCAGTAACCTATTTATCACATAATGTACATCTATGCAGGCATGCTTAGAGGTTTTATTTGCTTCTTTATTTCTTAATTTGGTGTTAAGTCTTAAGTTGTAAATCTTTTTAGTTAGTGAATAACGTTGGATCTCAATGGTATATTTATCATCAGCATTAGCATGTCGTTGTCTTATCAAGAACACAACAAATCATATTGAAGACATTTTTGTTCCAGCAGCATTGTGATTCTATTAGATTATATGCTCATTCCCTGTACATTTACTTTGCCTTTTCATAAAGCCAGTAGTAAATTATATAAAAAATATTACATCCCATATATAATGTCAAAGAAGGCTGATAGGAAAAAGGAGGCAATAGCGAATATATAATGATAATCTCACGATCCTCTGATGTCATCAACCCGCACCGGTCGATCGCGTTGAATCTATTAACAAAAGATCAAAAGCTTACGTCAGTGACTTAAAATCTCCTTTTAATTAGATGAACCGAACAAGTTTCGTATTAATTTACTTTATTAAAACTGTCCTACATTTACCGAACCTGCATGAGTTTCAAGTAAAAATCTTGGTCCAGGTTACAAGACGGAGAAAGGTGGAAACTCGTATCGTCGGAGGCAAAGGCCCACTTTGGGTTACTGCGCCACTCTAGTTGGTTAGTTTGACTTAAGAGGGTAATGTTTTTTGAGCATACTTAATATTTTTATAAGGGTTATGTATTTGACACTTCTGGTAAGGAGCGATGTACGGACGACCGAAGCTAATTTGCCAAATGAGGTGTCATTCGATTCGTACTCTTCCCCTGAGTTGCATAAGAGTACATTCAGAAGGGTTTTATTGCTTTTTTAAATTATATAACTTTAAAACTGATGTGTGTGATCTCATTACGTTTATCACAAGCTATTAGCCGTGAAGTTTCATTATTATTCGTTAATGTCATGAAGTTGGTACATTTAGTTGTACGCTCCAACGATTATTTGTTCCGCAGTGTGCGCCCAGCCTAGGTATCAATTGTTTAGTGTCCAACTGTTATGATATCATTTTACTATATTCTTTGGTTACGCGTCTATTTATTGCAAAGTAAGGTTTTGTAATAATTGTAGGCTTAATTGTATCATTTTATAATATTGCTATACTCCACATTAAGTTTTTTGTCTTTAGGTGTTTTAGATTTTTGATACTCGTTTTCGCGATAGATTTTTTGGATTGGCATCCGTCCAAAGAACCGCTATTGAGATTTTTTATTTTTAAAAATTATTTGCACTTTTCGTTGAGGGATTACGAATTTTATACCAAATTTACTAATATTATGAATGCGGAAGTGTGGATGTAAGTTACAAAGTATCCCCGGAATGGTTAAACGGATCTAAATGAAAATTGGCACAGATGTAGAACATAGTCTGGAAGAATATATACTAATTAAGTTTTATTTAATCCCGGGCGGTAGGCTACGCGGGCAACTGTATGTGATAAAATTGGGCCTATAGATAGCGATAAATAACTATATCTAAATACTTTATGACATACACCATGCATAAATACCATAATTCAAATCGTAACATTAAAAGTGAGCGTTCGTCGTGAGTTGTGAAGAACTTTATTGAACGTACTCGTTGTACTTGCGTATTAACCTTGTAATTAAGTCGTGTCTGTCTGTACATTTGATATTTCCATTGAAATGTATTAAGACAAAAACTATTTTAACTACTTTACATATCCCTACGTCATTAATAGATATACTACCTGTCGCGCGCAACTCCGTACGCACGGAATAAAAAAACTTAATTAGTAGCCTATGTGTTCTTCCAGACTATGTTCTACATCTATGCCAAAGTGCCAAATTATAATATTAGTATGAAGTAAAATATGCAAATGTAGTCTACCCGATCAGATATTGCGACTCGAAGCCTTTTCAAAGCAGTAAATAAAGAATTAGAAGGTATGGGAATCCTATTTAGGCTTTCTTCATTTTGTTAGCTCTGCCTTGCACGGCATAATGTATTCGCAAACTTTAGTTCAAGGACGGCGTAGACGGCCGGTCTCAAGGTGAAAATTAAAGCGTATTCATAATATTTTACTGCATAGTGTTACGCCAAATTTATTACAAATTTTATAATTTTATACGAAATAATGTTTTAAATATAAAACCGAACTAAGTAATAAATATAAATAGCATCTGGTCAGAAATTATAACTTTTAAAAAGTTTAATTGTTTTTTGATCTTTTTAATTTTTGGTATTTATAATAGGTTATTGCTGGTATAAATGAACAATGGTGAGGATACATCTATTGTATATTAATCTTAATAAACTGACATGGATACCAATTGATAATAATTGGTGTTAGGTTTGTCAAACGTTAAAATGAAGATACTTTTAGTCATCAAATCGAATGTACACTTCGAGGAATAACACAATTCGGTGCAACGACCTGAGCACGACTCTTTTTTTTTCTTTTTCACTTCATTTACTGTTATAGTACAAGTTTGCAAGGAGTTTTGAACCTTATTCGCGCGCAAATTATCGTTAGCCCATTTATAGGCGTCCACAATATCAACACGGCGGACTTCGTCATGCCTTAATCCGTACTCTGAACAGGCAAAAAAGAAGATAGGTAGGTTTAAATGGTAGAATGATCTAATCATACGGTGTGTTTTCACTGCCGTAGGACCTGAACAGACCGACAAAATTATTATGTTTGTATACAAATGTTTAGGCAGTGAAAACTCACGTACGTGAAACATTAACTTTTGTCGATTAAAACATAGTTAGAACGAGCGTTATATTTATCAGCTAATATTTTGAACCAAAGAAATAATGAGAGCAATATTTCTTTTTTAGAAAGTTACGTTCTTAATAACATCAAATAGAAAATTAATAACTTAAAGTAAGAGTTAATTTTATTTTCTTATTAACCGGATTAATAATTAATTATACGCTATTTATTTGACAATTAAATGACAGTTATACAAAGAGAGGGCGTTGATCGTTGAATCGATCTGTCGATTTTCTTCATCGCATGTTAAACGCGAAATCTCTGTTAAGCTTTTATTAATTCAAAACCTATTTATGATACGCTAAAGCTTTTACTTTTTGAAACATGATATGAATTGGATTCAGTTATAAGTTTCAATTAACATAAGATATTTGATGTATTAATAAAAAAAAGTTGAACTAAAGGTCTAGACGAACTTTTATAATCTTAAGTTTTGTATAAAGTGATAAACAGTAAGTCATAACAAATTGTTAATTGATATTTTTATAATTTTCTTGTTATTTGACAGTCCTCAGTTATGTATGAAAAGATTAAATGAAATCGAAGTTATGTTAAATGTATGAATTTGAAATGTCTTATCGTTCGTTTCTGAGGTCAAAATCTCTCTATAAAACATATATTCATCCATCTCATTATCGTTGACAAAACAGCGAAAACAATATTTAAAAAACCTGGAATTTTTAGTCTCAGAAACCAACGATTAATGCATTTATCAATCGCATAGTACTACTACTACTGTTATAATCCTTTTAATGATAAACATCCGTTTGCAAAAGGTGGCCGTGAGCAATAGTTACGGTGGGTTATCGAGACCACGTTAACGTAGGCGTATGGCTATTGAACATGTCCTTTGGGACATCCTTACATGTAACAACAACATCTTAGTAAACGTAACTGGAAACTAAATGCTTACATCTGGAGATTTAGTACATTATGTTTTCTCATCAAGTATGAGTGCCGTTCTAGTGCTCTTTTTACAAAATATGCCAAAATTACAAAAAATTTAGTTGATGTCCAATATACTCATATGTAACGCAGCCCATATGATTACGATTTTAGATTGTATGGACAATATTTTATAGCCAAATATTTCCACAATCTATTATCGTATTCTCGTTGGTTTTTCTTTACTAGCGATCTTTTGTGATTACTTACACTGATGTAATCACTTTCATTTCTAACTCGGCTCGGGTCGTGAACTGCGGTCGTCTCGGAAGCCTTGGTATGCTGGTAAATAGGAAGTTCCTGTTCTTTAAGACTATCTACAAACAATGATCTAA